TTAGCCAAAGCTACAGCAGAATTGGTTTGGATGCAGTCTTTGCTTGTTGAATTGGGAATTGTTTTGAAACAACCACCATGTCTATGGTGTGATAACATGGGAGCCAAATATTTATCATCCAATCCAGTGTTTCATGCAAGGACAAAACACATTGAGATTGATTATCATTTTGTTAGAGAAAGGGTCTCTAAAGGACAACTTCAGATTCGATTTATAGCTTCACAAGATCAATTAGCCGATGGCTTCATCAAAGCGTTGTCCTCACAGTCTAGAAAGATTTCGAAGCAAATGAGGAAGCTAAGATTGAGGAGGTTGTTAGATAGAGTCCTGATTCATATAAATCTAGAGATATTTCAGTTTAGTTTCTTATACAAGTTGGCTATGACTAGAGTCCAAATATGTCATGAGATAGTTCTCGTATGTAATCCAACTCTGTAATCTTCCATATATATTGAGAGCTCCGGCAAAAAAAAGGTTAAGCCGTTCCATACAAAGATATTATTTTACACACTGGAATGCAGAAAATGTGATCAGACGCAGCATAAATATATCACATAATTTGTTAAAATAAGTATGTTATCACTTATTAGCATAGTATATAAGTGGAACCATTGATGGGTGCATGGTCAGCATTGTCAGTGTCAGGAAAGACAAGACATACAAAGCTAGATTCAGCTTTCTTTGGTATAGGAAGAAGTCAGAAATGTTGGGATACATCCCAAAAGGTTTGTGAAAAAGCAGAAGTACCAAGAATTCAACTCATTGAGATGGAAGTACCAAGAGTTGAACACAATGAAGTAAGCAGCTATTGACAGTTTGGAACTCAATATGTTCTAAACCAATTACCTAGGTATTTTCATTGAGGCTTCAGACCAATAGTTGATGTCAGCGGAAGCCGAAAGGACAAACCAAGAATGAACCCTTAGGTTATACTAAAGGGAAAGATGTTGTTCTAGGTAACACTACCAGACCATGACATACTTGCCAAAAAGGGCTTACTGAGAGAAGAGTCAGGTCACACACGATACCCACCTTATAAAATTTACTCTTTGAAATGATCTCCGTCATAACTTCCTTCTTGCTCTTCTGCCCCTGCTAACACAAAATAACTAGAATGAGGTCACCTCATATGGATCACATTCACATGATTGCATTTACATCTCAGTTTCTCACTGTGGCTATGAAACTCACATGTGTTTCTTGTGGCAGATCAGTCACTGAAGGATGGTCGTCACTTTGGAGAGATAAGCGCTTCTTTGAGAGGACCATTTTACCTGGAAGTATAAAGATTGAAAGCACAATGAACAACACAGAAACAATAACATGAACTGATATGTATTACAATTCTTTATAATGCTGTAATATTATCACCATTCTTATTCTCGACATTGAGGTAAAAAGCTCAAAATGGCATAATTAAATCCAGCAAATGCTTTTCACAATGCAAAGGGATAACTACAATAACTAGTTATTGAAGCGTCACGAGTACTAACGCCAGATTTATACATCCACATCAAAGTGAGCCCAACAAGAATATGGAGAACAATGTGAAATCAGAAGATCACAGTGCAGTCTGGCATCCAGTTAACAGTGATGTTATAAGTGCGTAACAGAAAAGACGTGCTCATACCGCACATAATGTGGATGCACATATACAGTAGACAATCTCACATGATCTAGAGGGATAAAACGATAACAAAAACTGGAGAGGATTGTATTCCAACCAGAGAGACAATAATAATCATACCTTCATCATCGCTCCCATCATCGAGAGGCACCTCCTCATCAAAATCATCCTTTTCCGAGATCATGTTATGAACATTGGCTTCGTCTTCATCGTCATCAGATAGATTGTACTTGCTTTCTCGTTTCAACTTGGCCTAGAAACCAATAGAAGAATGGGTCGATAAAGGATACCGGTTTATGCTAGGTCTCTTTTGCACCCAAGCATGTCAATGTCGGGAGAAATGCTAGAAATGTTGGCGTGGCTCTTCAATTAATGAACTATCTCTTGGCGCAACATACCAAGCGCTCGCGTTGCTGGCGAAGGATGGCCTTGTCGAACTCGGGCAGAGTGTCGTCCCTCTCGCCGATACGCCGGTCGTGGAACACGGACGACTTTCCGCTCTCCACGAACTCCTTGAGTAGCGTGTTCTCCCTCTGCAGCAAGGCAAGAGGAATCAGCCACCAAATCAACCAGACGAAAAACCGCTCAACTGAATAATTAGCAGCTGCTTACCTTGCGGATGGCCTCGGAGCGGGAGCGCGATACGCGTCGCTCCTCGCCCTTGCGCTTCTTGCCGAGCACGTCGAACTTGCGGCGCGACCAGATGGCCTCGAACGGGTTGCTCCGCTCCTCCGCCGCCGCGCCACGAGCCTTCATGGCCACCTTGGCCGGACCGTTCTTGCCCTTCTTCTTTCCTTTGCTCTTCTTCTCGCCAGCCCCCGCCCCCGCCGCCGCCGCCATGGGCTTCGTCTTCGCCATGGCCTGGACAGGAGGGGACTGGGGAGAGGTCCCGCTACCGCTAGGGTTTAGAGGTTTCTCTGAGAGAGAGGAGCTCGCTTCTCTGAGATTGAATGTTGGGCTGGTTCATAATATGGGCCACAAATCACAATGCACCGAGGGCCAAGGCCCAATAAGGCAATAAGCAATAAACAACTTTCTCCAAAACCAAAAAGGGGGCCCTTCCTCTAAAAGATAAAGTAAGATAAAAAAATAATATCATTTCTTTCCATGTAAAGTGCCATTATAAAACTAAAACATAATAAAAGACATTCTCTTCTAGAGAGAAAATATTAACAATAGCTCCTTCCACCTTACATTGCTTTTTTGTGCAATTTTTAAAAAGGTGTTAGAAATGGTTTAGCACACAAGAGAGGAACTGGGCACTTTGAACCCGAGGACCGAAGATGAAAAAGAACGAATACGAGTTAGAAGTCTATTTGAGTTTGATCCATGTTTTATTGTAGTTTGGAGTACAATTTAGGGACCGGCCATTTGACCTTCAAAACCTCAATAGACCAAATAACTCGAATATAACTCCAACAGCTATTAGAATGGTATGCTCATCTTTGTGACTGTTGCTCTTAATACAAGGCGTAAACTTTCAAACTACTACACTGAGATTGTTACCTTGTTTGGTGAGGTTAAAGTGGGAAAGGTTTGGAAAGAAACGACTAAAATCAGGGGTGGAACTAGCCTTTGCCATTGAGGTCGAGCGAGTATATTCACCACTGCTTGGACCCCTATTGTGTACTACGAAGGGGGGACGGTAGGGATGGTCCTCACTAAAACACGGTGCGGACGTGCAGTTGACGTGTGGACCATGGGGCATCTAATTTACCATGTGTGCGGTTAAAATAATACAGTGGCCCACATATCAGCCAAACAGTCCGCACCACGCCTTGGTAGGGATGGTCCTCACCTAATTTTTTTTCTTACGAAAGAACCTAGTAGTCATGGCAGCTGGCATATTAGTGTTCTTTTAATTCAATGGGATGAATAGTTCGTGCTATATTACCTTGGATTTTTGGATTAAATCCTATAACCTTTTTGTAGGATTTTGCATTGGTTGTCAATTTTCAACCTATTTTTTCCAATAGATCGAACATGCCAAACCAAAAGAACCGAAGGGACTGAACGCCCACCCCTACGTGGCATAGCAAACTAGTAGGGGTGAAAAAGTACACTAATTAGGAACAAGATTCATGATCATGGCTAAATGTAGTTTTTTTTTGTAACCCGTTTAGGATGATTGTGCCAACCGGTTTAAACAAGCATGTTATGCACGCCCATGGGTTCATGTCCATTTGATCCAATATGAGCTTCTGCCATACCAAAGATAGAATAATTCTCCCTCTACATAAAAATCATTCTTCAGTTGTCTCTCTTGTCCCGTCTTAGACCCCTCCAAGGCTTGGTTAGATAGGCCCAATGCTGCTATCATACCCTTTGTCACCCTCATAATAACCAACCCAAGCTACATAGTGTGTGCATGTAGCTTTGTATTCCTATATTGAACAAAGGCACACCTACTCCTTGTTGTACTCCTCTCCCCTTTTCCCCCTTTCTCCTCCCTTCCTTCTTTCTGATTCATTCTCCGGCTTCCACAAGAGTGGCAAGCCTCGTGCTCAACCTACCGTGCTTCTATATAATAGTCTTCCGCCATTTGTTGGTGTCTCCCTTGCGATCAGGCCTAGCTACCTACTGCTTGACACCTTGTTGATCTAATCTAATTATGGATCCTCTTTTAAGCTTGGCAGGATCTTGGCACCTCTTCAATCCTAACCCTAACCCCTAACATGTTGCTTCCTGTCCTTATCTAGTTCCAAGCTTGTATCCGCCCTCACCTCCGATAGCATCGCGACTAGTGCATATTAATATGATGCGTTAACTAGGGATTTCGTACTCTTTTTTGTTCCCAGCACTTGAGACTAAGGGGGATTTTGAGTGAAATGGTTAAGTTTGTCTTGTACAAATTTCAGCAAGGAGTAGTTTGTGTGAATAACGCTGTGATTCATTATCTAAATCATCCAGGTCTTCTGTTTAGTCAATTACCAAATGATTAGCTTCGTCATGACCATGATTTGGGTAGTTCAATACTGAAATCGCTTTACACAGTTCATAATAAACTGTGAGTAAACTTTACAAAAGCACTCTTAAGATTGAAAAACTGTCATAAGATAGCCCTGTTAGTAATAATTAATTCGACAAAGCTGTTTCATAGTACCTCTTTTTTCATATTAGTTGCCATTCTAATTTTGTGCAAAGTCAAAACATTCCATCTTTGAACATTTTCCACACCGAACAGTTTTCTGGAACAAGCTGAAGTTTTGATTGTTCGCCGTTCGGATAGCTAGCTTTACAGCATCATTGGGCAGATCAGAGGCAAACTCGCTCTGATCAAGTTACCAGCAGGCCGGCAACAGTTTTGAACTGAAGGGACAAGAAAACAAAAGGAGCTGATACTGATCGGTAGATAATCAGTGTGCTGGGACTACTAGGCGAGGAGCCAGAAGTCCCTGTGGTGCTTGCTGGAGACGAGGTAGCCGCCGGAGCTCCTCCGGCGCACGGCCAGCGCCACGCACGGCGCGTGCTCAATGCAGTATTCCACCATGCTGCCGCCGCCGGCGGCGGCGGCGGAGGATCCCCTGCTGCGCCGGCGCCGCCACACCACCTGCTGCAGCCACCGCGCCACCGCGTGCCGCCGCGGGCGCTGGCCCAGCACGAGCAGCGACGCGCCGTGCCGCCTGGCCGCGTCCACCACCGCCGGCGCGCGCTCCTCCGCCTCCACGGCGCACGTCTCCACCTTCACCTGCATTGTGAATTGTGATAGTCTGGTGAGCGTGAGCGGTGAGCCTCGGATCCCCAACTCCTCCAACATTATTGCCGCGCGAGTCTCTTTTCTTTTCTTTTGGCGCCAGCGCCACGCCCCCCACAAAATCCGCTAAGTGGCTGTTGCTTTTGGTGGTGGTGGACAGCAAGAAATCATTGCGCATCCCACGAATCATTGGCTGACCTTCGTTTCGAATTTCACACGGAAACAATTCAGCCTTGTTTAATTTATATTATAGACAGTGGGATGACTGATTTGGCAAGATTTATATTCCATCCTATCCTAGTAATAATTTACTGGGAGATTAATTAAATTAATTACATTGTTCACGTAGCATTTGCGTGCGTGAGTACCTCTGGCCTTGTTGATTCACAGACGGTCCTCAAGGCGGCGAGGTGTTGCTGGCTCTTGGTCCCCAGCATCTTGACACAAGAATCACTGGCGGCTGCAGAAACATTACATTTAGACGAAAAAATAGTCAGTGAAATTCTAGTGAGCGTGGTGAAACCAACAATTTTATGGCCGACGCGACGACGGCACATGAGAGAGCGACACCGACCGTCTCGGGCGACCGGCGGCTTGGCGACGGCGAGGAGGACGACGGTGTCGTTGCTGCGGACGGCCTGCGACAGCGCCCACTGGAGCGCGCCGGCGGCCTCGGCGCGGCCGTCGGCCAGCACCATGACCCGCCGCCCGCCGCCGCCGTCCTTGTTGCTGCTGCCCACTTGCACCATCAGCGCGCCGTTGCCATTGACGTAGCACCCTCCCCCTGCTCCTCCGGCTGCTGCTGCTGCGCTGCCGGCCTTCTTGCCACCGCTGCTGCTGGGCAGTGCCGCGGCGGGGAGCTTGGAGGAGGGCGAGGAGTAGGTCGCCCGCTGCACCCGCTTCCTCCTCACCCGCGTCGCCGCCCGGCCACCACACAACGCCGCCGCCGGCAGCCTCCTGCCCATTGTTATTGTTGTCCTGGTGTCCAAGGACACGAACTCTAGTTCTTCTACTACGCCAATGCTGCTGCAAATAGGAATGTGGAGGACTTATATATATTCGTACGGGGGAGTAGTGGCTATCTAGCGCCCTACCAGTAGCTGAGTGGTACGCAGTAGTCATCATCCATCATACCAGTAGACGACGTGCAGGGCATGAATTGAAACCAAGGAAGAAACTAGCGAGCTATGGAAAGGAGTGGTTAGGCAAGTAGCAATTGTTGCATTGGAAATTTGGAACCTATCATTCCATTCCATTCCTTGCCTGCACTGCACACATGCACGCACGTACGCCAATCAAATCCTAAGTATATATCTGATATCCCTATCCCATGCATGATTGACGCGTTCGTCGATATGATCCTGCCGTCGTCCTGCGCGACCTCACAGAGCTAGTTTTCCAACCTATATACGCATACTATGTTAGATTTAATGTGGGCCAAGCCTAATATTTTATCTAAATAAATCGAATAATTCTAAGACCCGTATTAAATATTATGCGTTATATGATTTAGTCATATACGAGATCTTTAATTGAATATTGACTCGATTTATATGTGCGGACCATGTCTATCTACATTGAGAAGTTGAGAAAAGAATGAGCCACATGAGCATGCGGTGCATGAATTGGTTTTGTCATTCAAGCTAATTATGGCCAGGAGTTTCTATTCCTAAATGAGGGAGTTACAGGAGTTTCTGTTCCTAATGGCATAGCAGGAGTTACGGGAGTTTCTACTCATAATGGCGAGAGTTACGAGAGTTTTTCCTCATGATGACGGGAGTTCCTTCTGTGAGCGTCTCTTCCGTTTCTGACTCTTGATCTCCTGCGGATGGAATAGGGAGAGCAGGCCTCTGAAACTGGCGCCGTTCGTGAGTTCATCTGCTTAGGTGAAGACCGGCAATTAGGTTTTTGGGGAGCGACTACGCTACTGCTCGATCGTACAACAACCTCATCTTCTTCCCGGTGTTCGTGGCGGCAGCTGCAGATCGGCACTGCAACCTCTCTGCACTGCATCGAGCAGGACGACTACTCGAACAGGCTCTATGTCGACTAGCACAACCGGCTCTGGTGCCGCGGGGTACTGTTGGATTTATTATGGGCTAGGCCCATTTATAAATTTAATAAATCAATAACTCTATGGCTTGTAATTGTGGGTATTACTATTTGTACCGGATTGAAAGTTAAAAGGACGTTGACTCAACTTAAATGATTGGAATTGATCCGTCTAATTTGAGAAGTTGAAAAACGGACAAAGGCGTGCCACACGCGCGCGCGCGCCGCCGCCGCCGCCGGCCGGGGCGGGGCGTGGCGTGGCAGGCAGGCGGGCGTGCGTGCGTGGCGTGTTATCTTTTTAATACCCACTAACCACGGGAGTTTCAACTTGAAGCCAGTCTGACTCCTGATCTCCCGGAGTCTCTCTACCTTCCCGTCCCGGCGCATTCCTCCGGGACCTCTCGGCTGCGTGGCGTGTTATCTTTTTAATACCCACTAACCACGGGAGTTTCAACTTGAAGCCAGTCTGACTCCTGATCTCCCGGAGTCTCTCTACCTTCCCGTCCCGACGCATTCCTCCGGGACCTCTCGGCTTTTCCTGTTAATCCTCCAACTCCAGTTAAAGAGAGAGTACTCATCCAGAGATAAAGTTCAGTTGCTTGATGGCCTTCCTCATCTCGTAACTCTCTGCGCCGCGGAGAAGCGAGAGGCGGTGCCTCCGAAGCCATTGTCGTTCGAGACCTTGCTCGGGGATCGGCAATTAGGTTTTTGGGGAGCGTCTACGCGACCGCTCAAGAGTCTCCGTCTTCAGACGCCTCGTCGTCTTCACCTTCTTCTTCTACGGCATGACAAGGGACGTTCTTGGAACTTCGAAATCGCGGATGGGAGGGTATGATTGTTTCATCATCTTTCATTTTATGTTCTACATGTTTCAGCAGTTCATCGCTTTGCTTCATATCTTATATCTGTTCATGCTAGAAATATGCTTATGTCATTCATGCTAGAAATATGCTCGCATATGTGTTTCCTTCTTACTGATTACATTGTACCGTATATAGCTTTATGCTTGTTGCGTATATGAGATGTATATCATGCCATCTGCTTATCTCTCATTATTCATGAATCAAGTTCTCATGCTTTTGATCTTTATAAGTTTCACATGATATATGATCTAGCATGTATTTTCACCATGGATATAATCGATATCATGTTTACAATGATTAATAATTGTTTATATGTCATCATCATGTTTGTTGATTTATGGAATTAAAATGACATGGAAATTGCCTATTATCCTAACAATCCAAAAACCTAATTTTAGGCATTTTTTACATCGAGGTTTTGCACGCCGTGTTAAAGCCCTCGATCCTTTTGATGGTAAAAACTTCTTGGTTTGGAAAGCTAAGATGGAATTGTGGCTCACTTTGCAATGTCATGTTATCATGTCTTTGAGGGCAAACCGCTAACTTGTCTCCCGAGGATGAGGCTAAGTTTAAGGTCGATGACAACCTCTTTCGAGGTGCGAAGATTAGCGACTTGATCCAAAATTCGGAAAAAGCTATATCATCCTTCCTCTGGGGAAAGAGCCGTGGGATGCACTTGTTGGAAAGTTTGGAGTTACTGATGTCTTTGAAGCGAGGGTATCTCATGGAGCAAATTGATGACTATAAGATGGTTGAGAACCGATCTGTAGTGGAACAGGCTCATGAGATTCAGCACTAGCTAAGGAACTTGAGCTTTTTCCATGTGTCTTACCCGACAAGTTTGTGGTCAAGCGTATAATCGCCAAGTTACCACCTTCTTGGAAGGACTTTGCTACCTCACTCAAACATAAGAGACAGGAGTTCAATGTGGAAGAGCTCATTGGTACTCTTGATGTTGAGGAGAGAGCGAGAGCAAAAGACAATGGAAAGAGCGTTGAGACCTCTTCGCTAATGTGGTGCGTAAGAGAAACTCGGATTCCGCAAGTTTAACAAGAAGAAGAAAAACCGTAATAAGCAAGAGAACACAACTAAGCCTGCTCAAACAAAGACAGTTTAAAAAGAAGAACAACAACAAGAGAGATGGAGGTCGCTTTGTTTGTGGCGTGAACAACACTGGGCAAGTGAGTGCCCCGCGCAAGTTCAAGCGGGAAAAGAAATCAAAGAAATGTTGTCACTCACGTCTTTCAGAAGGAGCATCCGGGTATGGTAATTCTTTACCATTTGTTCTTTCAATATGTAATTCACACGAGTGGTGGATGGATAGTGGTGCAAATATACATGTGTGTGCCGATGTTTCTCTGCTTTCTTCCTACCAGTGTCGAGAGGTCTGGCGCCTTTGTTGATGGGAAATGGATCGCGTGCTCATGTTCTTGGTGTTGGTACGGTCACTCAAGTTTACTTGGGAAAGACGGTGCCATTGAAGAGCGTGCAAACATGTGCCCTCCATCAAGAAGAATCTTGTTAGTGCATCTATGCTATGTCGAGATGGCTACAAAATTGTTCTAGAGTCGAATAAATGTGTTGTGTCAAAACATGGTTCCTTTGTTGGTAAAGGATATGATTGCGGAGGCTTGTTCCGCTTATCACTGCATGATGTGTGTAATAAAATGGTGAATTATGTTAATATTTCTGATGAGTCGGATTTATGGCATTCACGTTTCTGTCATGCAAGTTTTGACTGTCTTATGCGGTTAGCAAATCTAAATTTAATTCCTAAATTCAATTTGGTCAAAAAGTCTAAGTGCCATGTATGTGTTGAATCAAAACAACCCCGCAAGCCTCACAAAGTCATTTGAGGCGAGGAATTTAGCACCTCTAGAACTTGTCCATTCTGATTTGTGCGAAATGAATGGAATTTTGACTAAAGGCGGTAAAAGATACTTCATCACTTTTATAGATGACTCCACCAGGTTTTGCTATGTGTATCTCTTAAAAACAAAAGATGAAGCGTTTAATTATTTTAAGACCTATAAAGCTGAAGTTGAGAATCAACTTGAGAGGAAAATAAAGCGGTTAAGGTCCGATCGAGGTGGAGAATATTTCTCTAATGTTTTCGATGAGTTCTATGTGGAACATGGTATTGTTCATGAGAGGACACCGCCATTCTCCACCACAATCCAATGGGATTGCTTGAAGGAAAAAAACCGCACTCTAACAGAGTTAGTGAATTCCATGTTGAGTACAAATGGGGATTATCCAAGGAATGGTGGGGTGAGGCAATTTTGACAAAGATGTCATGTCCTGAACAGAGTCCCAACAAAGAACAAAGAAATCACACCATTTGAGGAATGGGAAAAGAGAAGATTAAATCTCTCATATTTGCGCACTTGGGGTTGCTTGGCTAAAAAGTAAATGTGCCAATCAACAAAAAGCGTAAACTTGGGCCTAAAACTGTTGATTGTATTTTCCTTGGCTATGCCTTTCACAAAGATTATTATAGGTTCTTAATTATAAAATCAAAGTTCCTGATATGTATGTTGATACAATCATGGAATCAAGAGATGCTACTTTCTTTGAGAATGAATTTCCAATGAAAAATACACCTAGTGAAACAAGTCATGAGACTATAATTCCCCATGAACACGAATCTGTCTATTCCAACAGATCATCAAGAAGATTTTCATGTGCACATCCCCGAGAAGGATGACACTATAGTCACTCGAAGAGCAAGAGACAGAGGGTTGCAAAATCCTTTAGTGATGACTATTTAGTGTACCTTGTGGAAGACATACCAACCACCATTAGAGAGGCATATTCTTCTCCTGATGCTGACTTGTGGAAGGAAGCAGTAAGGAGTGAGATGGATTCTATTATGTCTAATGGAACTTGGGAGGTCGTTGACCGTCCTTATGGTTGTCAACCTATAGGTTGCAAATGGATTTTCAAGAAAAAGCTTAGGCCTGATGGTACAATTGAGAGGTACAAGGCAAGGCTTGTGGCCAAAGGATATACCCAAAAAGAGGGTGAAGATTTCTTTGACACCTATTCAC